TAAATGTTGAAAATTTATGATGCAAAATAGAAATTGTTGCTGCAAGTTTCCATCAAAAAGCTTAGGCTCTGCCTGCATTAAGTATCAAGAGCCATTGTTTGACATCCTAATCCTTACAGTTTTGTACGATTAACTTCTCAGTCTAGTTAAATTTATGCTTACGTTGCTCAAAAAATTTGCAGGGTGATGCAAAGCAAACTCACCTTTCACCAATTTTGCATCAATGACTTTGAGTTTCGAGAGGAATGCGAACTCTTCAAAGCCTTTGTTGTTTTCGAGGATTAACGATCCTTCAATCAATTCCACATCTTTGAAGAAATCAAGATTCTTGTTCATGGATGCTAAGATAGGACTTCATCAATATGCAACATAAAAATGATAACAACAAATTATTTCTTCTTAAAGTTCATTGAGTGTTGTTTTGGTAACTAAGGATCTCGAATATTATTAGATTTCTTAGCCATTCAAGATATCAACAGAGCGAACATCTTCACTAATGTCTATAGGGATAAATTTGATAGAGCAGTTCAAAGTAAGACAAACAATTGTAATGAGGCAAGCTCGTTATTTTGAGCGAAAGAAAAAATGAGAAACAAGTTTTCTCAATTTTGAGTTGCTTCCTGACCAATAGAATGTTCGCAAATCAGAGTCTAATCAGTTTTGCACAGACCTATCTTCCTTTCAATAAATTGTGTAACATTGATTTTTTTCAAGATTTATAGAAGACAACAATTACACGACAACAAAAACGTTTTTCGCTCGCCCTATGGGTTGACTGGTTTTAGCCGAAGTGATTGATTAGTGAGCATGATTTAGATCTTCATAGCAATTGCTCTGGCAAGCCGGAAGGCGCCAAGTTTCCCTTTAAAAACTTTTTAAAAACTTTCTTCAATCGAAAATTCAGCGCAGAGTTCGACTATTTGGAGCGCAAGCAGTGGGTAACAGAAGCAACCAGATTTTTTTCCAAAATTATGAGTATTGTATCTGTCAAGCATTTTTATCGAAGTCATTTGTCTTGGCTCTAAATGTTTTATCTGTGTT